GTACGGTACAGCAGTATATATATATATATATATATATATATATTATTTAAACAAAACTTAAAAAATATATATATATATATATTTTATTTAAACAAAACTTAAAATGAAGCTTCTGCTTTCTGCAAGGGCTATGTTGCTTCAAACCAAGCCTCCCTCTGAGAGCAACTAGGAAAGTTAGACAAAATTTTTAAAAATCTCCAGGAAGCCATCTGAAAGATATCAACATAGTGAGCACTTGCAAAATCAAGTCCCAGAGGGGAGGGAAGGAAAATGAGGTTGCTTTCCCCCCACAAGGATAGTGATAATTTTAAAACAAAAGGAATGTTTGGCAGGCTGAGAAGTTTAGAAGAGCCTTCAGAAGTTAGACTTTGGGTGGTTGGGGAACAAAAATTACAGATAAGGGCCCATTGAAGAGGAGAAATCCTGGTTAAAAACACCACCACCACCACCACCACATTTTCATTTGGGATCCCCAAGGGTTAAATCCAAGGAGTAGTGAAACAAAAATATATCAGCCCTCATGAAGACTGATGCATAATTGTATTAAGTTCATCTTCCTCCTAGCATAACTCCCTGCCAGTGGTAAAATTAAATCCTCTTTGTGGAAGATATCACCTAGAGCTAAATTAAATTAGTTTTAATTTTTCATATCCAATATCTGACATGCCATAAAAAAAAAATGAGGCAAATTAAAAGATGTGACTGAAAACAAAGAGGAGAAAACAGTGAAACAGAACAGACCCACAAAAGATCCAGATATTGGAGTAACCAGACATGAATTTTAGTATAGCTACGGTTTCAGCATAGAAATGAAGATTTTAAAACTGGAAAACACAATAACGAATTAAGAAATTAATGGATAAGTTTTATAGGATTATTAGATATAGAAAGAATTAGTGAACTAAAATATAGGTCAGAAGAAATATCTAGAATGAATGAAGCATGTAAGGTCAAAAGGCTGGATAATATGAAAATATTTTTTCAAAGCAGCAGAAACAATATGTGAAGAGACAAAAGCTGAGGATTTTCCATAATGAAAGACACCAAACTACATATTCAAGAGCACACCTAGGCACGTTATAATAAGACATTTTAAAACCAAACACAAAGAGAAAAGTTGGGGGGAAGAAGTCATTCACTTTCAAAGAAGCAAGAAGATCAACAGCTTACTTCAACAAGAAATGCTGCCAGGTCTATTAGCTATCCATACATGAAGCAACAGAAACAATGGAAGTCAGGAGACAAAGTAATCACATATTCAAAGTGACGAAAGAAAGTAACTGTCACTCTAGATTTCTACACACAGAGAAAATACCACGTACAACTGCATCAAAAGAAATACTTAGGAATAAATTTAACAAAAGATGTGGGAGACTGCTAAACATAAACTCTAAAATATAAGAGAGAATTTAAAGATGACCTAAATAAATGAAAAGACATACTAAAGTTCATGGTATGAAAGAAAATATTAAGATGGTAGTGTCCTAAAATTGGTCTGTACATTTACTGTAATAAATTGTATCAAAATATTGTTTTCCCTTTTTTGGGTGGAAATTGACAGGCTGGTAAAATTTATGAAAATACAAATGGTTAAGAATAGGCAATACTAACTTGAATAACAACAAGGAAAGAAGACATACTACTGAATATCAAGACTAATAGACCCAGCATAATTAATATGGTTAGGTGCTAATATAAATAAATAGATTGATAAAACAGAATAGAGGGTACAGAAATTGACACATATAATATGTGCACACTTGACTTATGACAAAACGTGACTCTGCAGAGGAGCTGGGAAATTTGCATTTTCATCACTATAACAGAAAATCCTATCTCACCCCACACACAAAATTCAATTCCAGATGCACCATAAATCTAAATGTCAAGGGTAAAACAAAGTTTCTAGAAGATAAAATAGGAATCATTATCTTTGAGTAAGAACAATTTCTTGAATGATGGGTCACCAAAAAAGCACTGCCGGTGAAGGAAAAAGAAAAGTGATGAAATGAACTACATTAATATTAGGAACTTTCAGAAAACCATTCCATTAAGAGAGTAGAAAAAGGCAAGCCACTGAGAAGATATTTTCAACACATATCATTATCAAAAAGCTTCATACGCAGATTACATCAAGAACTAAAATCAATAAAAGACAAGCCAATAGACCAATAGGCAAAAAACATGTACAGGCTCTTACAAAAGAGGATATACAAATGCCCAATAAAAAGTGCTCAATCTCATCAGTCATGAGGGAAAAGCAAATTAAAATAATGAGCTAGAACTACACAATCATTAAATTGGCTAAAACTAGGAAGTTATACCATACCAAATGTTGGCGAGGACATGGAGCACCTTGAATACTCACATGTTGCTGGTCAAAGTGTGAACTGGTTCAACCACTAAACTGTTTGGCAAAACTGACTAAAGCTATAGCCTATGACCCTATGTTCCACTCCCAGGTATATATATAAAACTGTGAGTTAATATATGCCAATAGGCATGTACAATAAGGTCCATAGCAGCATGTCCATAAAAGCTCAAACTGGAAAAATGCAAATGTCTATCAACCATGAAATGGATAAATTATGGTGTATTCCCATATTACAATAAAACAAATCTCTGATTCCTGCAACAATACAGATGAATCTCAAATAATAAAATTGGAAGAAGTGAGAGATACAAGAATACATTCTCCATGATTCAATTTACACCAAGCTCAAAAAAAAGGCAGAACTAAAACATGGTTTTAGAAGTCAGGGCTAAGTTGTTTGGAAGAAAAGGATAATAATTGGTTGGAGATATAAGAGAGGCTTCTGGGAGGCTAATTATGTTATACTACTTCATCTGGGTAGTATTTATACAGATATGTTCACTTTATTAAGTTCATCAAGCTGCATACTTATTATGTGTGCACTTTTCTATATGTATAATTTGCTTCAATAAAGAATTTTCTTTAACAAAACGTAGTAAATCTCAGGGCTGGCTGCTTAGCTCAGTTGGTTAGAGCATGGTGCAGATAACACCAAGCTCAAGCGTTCAATTCCTGTACCCTCCAGCACCAAAAAACAAACAACTGCTTCAATAAAGAATTTTCTTTAACAAAACGTAGTAAATCTCAGGGCTGGCTGCTTAGCTCAGTTGGTTAGAGCATGATGCAGATAACACCAAGCTCAAGCGTTCAATTCCTGTACCCTCCAGCACCAAAAAACAAACAAAAACAATGACAACAAAAACTTAGTAAACCCCAATCTAAAGATCTGTGTGTGAATACTTTCTGAGTATAGGGAAATAAATTATTTAAATATTTATCATCAGGTGAAAACCAAAACATGTTTTTGTAAGTAAAAATTAAGCACTAAGTCATTATTATGAATATTTGTATTTAGTTGTAAAGTGGTGTTAAACTTCTTCCTTAAAAATGTAATCAGAAATAAGAATACATAGTTTTGCTCACTACTGTACCCTCCACAATATTTTTCAGCTACTACTGAGGTAATATTTCAAAATGTGAGTCAAATCAATAACGTAGTATTAGAAGTTACCAGTTACTGATTGCTTGGTAGATAGTTGTTAAATGTTGGGGTACCTACCATCCATATAACTATGCAGCGCAGTTAACATCGTCCCATCTTGGGGCACGTAGGCAGAATAAGCCATTTCTTCTAACATAGGTGGAGACAGCCTGGAGGGTGGGACTGCTGTGACTGGGGCAGAGGAGGAGTGATTAGGACTGACATGTTTCTTGTGGCGTGCTCTACAATTCTGAAACCACACCTGATGGGGAGAAAGGCAAGGGAACTAGGTCACACCTCAGTTTCTGGGTACATTACCAACTCGATTTAAAAATGAATGCAATCTCAATCACTCTACCACACAAGCACAGTACAAGTGAAAATAACCTTTTTAAAAAGTTCTGTAGAGAGAAGAAAAACATTTTAGCCCAAATAACAATGGTCATTGATCTTGCTCAGATAATAGCTCTCTAGTGATTTACTTACAAGCCCAATTCTATACTAAACCAGTGCCTTCCATAAAAAAAAAAAAAAAAAAAAAAAAAAAAAAAAAAAAAGGGGGGTGCGGGTGGGATAATGGCTCAAGAATTCCAGAGAAGTCTCCTTGGCTTTACTACAGGCATTTAAACAGAAGAAGCCCTTTTAGTCAGAACATTAAATACGTACACACCTAAATGCATGCTTAGACACCTGCTGGACTTATTTCAAATCCTTGCTCAAATGACTAAAATCCCTACTGAGAACTTAAAGATTTCTACAAACCTCTTGATTCAGTTATTCCAGTCACATTTTAACCTGCTGAGTTCAATTCCTCTTAGTGAATGCATATAGGCTATCCCCCAAGAAGCATGTTAAGGTCATGTAATAACAAAAAACTCATAATATTTAAGTAGAATTAAATACAAACACCTACTGGTGAAAGAGTTCACCAACTGTAAAGTGCTAACCACCCTCTTGTCCACTCTGTTGCAGAAATAAAGAAAGCAAATTGAGGGCTTTACATCCAGGTCAGGGTAAGGCAAATTGGACTGCCCAGAATGCTTCCAGTAACTAACCTGCCTAAACCTGCCTGTGTTTGAATTCTCTGCCATGAGACAAAACTTGACCATAGAGTGTTCCTCGATAAAAATATTATATCACTTATTTTCCATCACTCCAAATGATTCTGTCCTTTAGAAGAAAGAGAAGTGAAAGGATAAAAACATTAAGGGAATTAGGACAAGAACATTTTGAGATCAGGGGAGAGGGGAAAGGTCAAGGACATAAGTCTCTGTTCAAGGCTGATAGGTGGTAACTTGACCGCACAAGGGAATCAGGGCTGACTAATGGCGAACAGAAGGAAGCTGCAAAGAATTTATAAGATAAAGTTGGCCTGAGTTCAGCAACACACCCGGCCCCCGGGACTCAAAAATAGAGCTGGCAAAGTATAAACTCAAGTGATTAAAACTAAAGGAATAAAAATTAACAGTTTAATGGGTTATTCAGCCCTGATCAGGTGGCTGAAAGGTAGCACCTAAGGAATGTTCAAAAATATCTTTTTATATATATAAATTATATATTGGATGGAACCTACTCCATTCAACCTACTCCACTGTTTGTAAAAACAAAACAAAACAAAACAAAAAACCAAAATACCATTCAGACTCTGTATATAAATACTAAGATGTGACATAAAGAGCAGAATAACTACTTTCATACTCATTCAAATAGCTTCTTGGAAAGATCATCTACAAGTAATCATGCAGAGAGAGGTTTGCAAACACAAGATGTCATGTGTTGCACAGCAAAATATAGCTGAGGATTCCACATATTAGAAAACAAATTTTAAGGGCTGGCTGGTTAGCTCAGTTGATTAGAGCGTGGCCTTGTAACACCAAGGTCAAGGGTTTGGTTCCCTATATCAGCCAGTAGCGCCCACTCCCTGCCCCCCCAAAAAAGAAAAGAACTTGACATAAATACTATTCAGCTTCAGAATTCAAATACAAGTCCTCTTAGCTCCCCTCCCTGACTTAAAGTTTTCTCCTTCATTTTGCAAACCTTCAACAGGAGTTAAAATTTTCTCTGAGTAGCATACTTTAAAATTTTTGAGTTCTAAATTATGAATTATGTAAGCTGAAAGCAGGTCATGTAGACATACTGCAAATGAAAAAAAAAAACAAACACATAAAACGAAACCTTTGGAAAGCCCAAACAAAAAGCCGAATAAAAATTTAGAGCATAAAAAAATGGAATTTTAAATTATTGGGAAAGCATGGTTTACTGATTTAGGGAAAACTGGTTAATCATTGGAGAGAAAAAAATTAGAGAAATCCCCACCTCATTGGAATCAATCCAGACAAATTAAAGTTTAGGTGTAAATAATTAAAACCGTAAATGTTTAAGTAACAAAAGCCAATATTGACATGTTATTTAGACAGAGAAGCATAACGAAGGCCAAAATTAGCAAAAGACTGAGATACTTGAATACATAAAAATATAAAAGTTCTATGTGGAAAAAATAAATGAAAAGGAAATTGATGAACCATAAAAATTTGATAGATAGGATTAATAAAATCCATGAAGACAGAAAATAACCCAACAGAAAAGTGGGCTACAAACATACAATTTTTAAATTATAAAATAAGCAAACATATTCAAGTTAGTTGATTATAAAAGAAAGAAATAAACACAATAAGATTTTCTTTTCTGACTACCAAATTAGAAAGGATGTAAAAGAATGACAGGATTCAGGATTCTTGAGTTGAAGAAAAAAGAACTCCTGCATGTACCTCCTGGCAGAACAAATTGCTATAAACTTTCTAGAAGGCAATTTTTGCATAAAGGCCCTAAAAATGTTTTATCTTTTGATTCAACAGTCTCGTTTCCAGAAATCTATGCTAAGGAAACTACTGAACTAGCATGATAGATACGTTGCTCATGGCCTTGTTTCTATAACAGTGAAAACTTGGAAACTAAATAACTTGTGCTAATCTCAATATATGCACCCATATAGAAATAATGTAAACCTTAATATTGAAGGGTATTCCCAGCATACTGACCAGAAAAAATAGCAATGTTTTACTTTGTTTCTGTAAAACATACAACTCATATTTCTTAAAGGACATGTGATCAATTATTTTATTTGGATGCAGAGTATTAAAGAAAGGTAAAGTCACCCATCTTTTCTTTGACTTCAGTACAATGAAAATCTGTTCTGTTACAAATGTCTCACTAAGCAGACTTGTAACTAATAAAAATGAGACTTTCCACTGTTTCCACCTAATCTTTGGGTGACCTAGTTTGCATATCAGAATTGAGGCCTAATAATCAAAACTCTTCTCTTTAACCTTTCTGAACTGTTGTGCCTACACTAGGAAGGAGATTAGGGGAAAGAGATTATGATTACTATGTGAAATCCCAGTAATTAATTCTTCAAAAATACTATGAAGGGTTATATATTTAAATTACATACACATATGTGTATATATATGAATAATATACATTTGTATGCTAGTACTCCTTCCTTTGTCATCAAAAATATTTAACATTTATTTACTTATTCAGAAAAGCATTTTTTTTTATTGGTTAAGCAGAAGAATGAAACTAGATATGCACCTCTCGCCATATACTAAAATCAACTCAAAATGGATTAAAGACTTAAGTATAAAACCTGAAAGTGTAAAATTACTAAGGGAAAATATAGGTGAAACACTTCAGGAACTAGGTCTGAGCACAGACCTTATGAACATGAGCCCGAAAGCATAAACCACAAAAGAAAAAATAAACAAATGGGACTTCATCATATTAAAAAGCTTCTGCACGGCAAAGGAAACCATCAACAGAGTGAAACAACAACCTACAGAGTAGGAGAAAATTTTTGCCAACTATACATCCAACAACGGATTAATATCTATAATATACAAGGTCCTCAAGCAATTACACAGTAAAAAAATGAATAACCCAGTTAAAAAATATTTAATATTTAATCTTCACATATCAAAAGCCAACATCCAAAAATATATTCTCCAAGTTTTACTGCTTGGGATCAAGTTAACCTGCTCATAATACTAGTGACCTAAATATCTGGAAATTACATGACAGATATCTGTTTGGGGTCCTTACTCCTTCAAATAATAAGAAAAGCTCTAAGAAAACCCTCCATTCTCCTTTGTTTCCAACTTCAAAATAGTCTAAAATGTAATAGTCATGGATCTGACTTACCTACAACCATCACTGCCATGAATGTACACAGGCTTAGATTTGAAGGAACCCTCAGCCCATTGAATCTGAACTACCTCACCAATGAGACTCCCCTTAAAGGCACAGGAAACTCACTACCTTCAACGGTAGTCCATGCCATTTTTGTAGCTTTTCATACTGAGAAAGTTCACTGAATGAACTCTATGTTCCCTTGCAAGATAGCCTTTCGCACATATGTAAAAACACCTACTCAGTATATACAATTCCTTTCCTAACCATGTCCTGGCCTTACCTCCAGATAAATATCCCTATTCCTTTAATAATAGGACATGATTTCTAGATCTTTCATGACCTTAGTAGTCTTTCTTTAAAGGCAGCACTCTTTTTAGATTAGTTCCTTCTTAGTCCCTTTCTAAAATTTTGCCCTCTGAAATAAACACAATACCCTGGACATCCGGAAAGTGCTGAGCTGAGCTGGTGGGACTGGCCTCCTAAGAGAGCCTCATTACACTTCAGTCAACCAAAACCACCGGGAACTTAGGACTCTGGAGAAGCTGCAGTACCATCAGGCTTTTCGCATCAGCTTCTTTGTGTAGATGACTGGTTAATTATGAACTACTTAAAGCTTAAAGAATAAACACCTGGGTGTCAACTGCCCAACTTAACAAAATATATGTACACTGAAGAAATTTACCATTTTTCCCCACTGAATTTTATCTTGCTTGTTATGATTACTTACTTTCATTCCTTAAACTTTTTTTGAACCTTGATCATTATTTAAAATTATTTTCCACTTCCCTGGTCTCTTCATAACATCTCGACACAGCTGGCCACCTCCTTCTTGAATCCACCCCAGTTCTTTGGGCTCCATGCTGCTTCTTCACCAGATTCCTTCCTTGAATCTAGCTTTGACTATGTCCCACTCAAACAGAACCTCTTACCTTGCTTTCTTCCTGAAGTCCATTCTTCACTTTTTGCACTCTATGATCTCTCTCTAAAAGACCTTACCCAGTTTCATGGCATTGGATCTCTTTGCTTGAGTCCTTCCAAATACCCGTTTACATATTCAACTACCACCATCACTGCATGATGAGCGCTAAAAGGATTTCATTCTCCTCCCAACCACCAATCCAGCTTTCTTCTGACTTTATTTCTGCCAATGGCATCATTCCTTTGGATACTTTGACTATGAATCTGAGTCATCTTTGACTCCTCTCTGTTTTCCCTTTACAGTCTCCAGGTCCTTTTCTGGTCTGTCTAGCAACCGGTACCTGCCATCAGTATGCAGTCAATAAAGTATTTCTGGAATGACTTTCTAGGTCTACCACCCCACTTAAGTCTCAAGAAATCAGGACTTTGGTGAGCATCCTTACTAAGCTGTGTACTTCTACCTAGCCTTTCCCAACTCCAATTCTTCCTACGTACTGTCACTAGCCTTTTCTTCCTAAAATCACATCACGGCTTTCTTCTGCTTAGGAGAGAACTCTGCATTCATAGGCCTCTCTGACTTCTCCTTACTAAGCTGTGTACTTCTACCTAGCCTTTCCCAACTCCAATTCTTCCTATGTACTGTCACTAGCCTTTTCTTCCTAAAATCACATCACGGCTTTCTTCTGCTTAGGAGAGAACTCTGCATTCATAGGCCTCTCTGACTTCAACTCCAACAATTTCATTTCCCATGCTTTCCAAACATAAATTCTACATTCCCAACAAATTTGCTGTAACTCATCTCTCCCTACCTTTGTTCACACCACACCCTCTCCCTGGATCTTTAGCGAAGGCCATCAACACCCCCTACACACACACACACACACACACACACACACAACACCCCAACACCCCCTACACACTCTCACACACACACTCACACACACACTCGCTCTCTCTAGTAGGGAAAAAAAAAAAAAAGCACTGATCTCTGAACCAGATTTAGCTTGGAACTGCAGTTGTCTTTTTTAGCCTGAGGATCTTAGAGTTGCTGTATTAAATGAAGTAAGATGTGCAAGGAGTCATTTGACAAATTGCAGCCTAGCCTAAGCAAGCCAATTCTCAGTTTTTTAAAAACTGATTTAGAGTGTGAAGAGACCTAAAATGATAAGCTAATGTTTTAACATTTCTTCACAAAAAACAATATACACTCATAAAGATCCAGAATTTAGACTTTGAATAACTCTTGATTGACCTTTAAAATAATCACCTGTATCACACGTCTGCTCAAGCCTGTCCTTTCTGCCAGTTTTTGGAGGGTCTGTGCATCTGGGTTGTTGTCCTGAGCAAACTGTGCTTGCATAACCTGTTTTATAAAAAATACAGGTAGTAAATAGCTAAAGATAAGCAGCTCAGTGGTTCTGTATTTTCATAACAGGAGAAATAAGACATGCACAAGAAAATGGGCACTTGCATTTTATTACTTACAAATATAGCAAAGTATGTATAAATGAAATAGAGTGCCTACTTTATAAATTTACATGCAAGTTGCTATGCTGAAATCTTTTTTAAAAATCCATTTCAACATAGCTCTTTGCCTCTCAACTATGCCATTAAAAATAAGCTCACCTTTTCCTTTCTTCCATTCTTATAACACACAAATGAAATACATAAATAGTATGAGTCTTATCTATTATTTTTTCCATTTTGTTAAAATTGCCAGCATTAGAATATTTAATGAAATACAAAAATTATATCACATTTATATCCAGTCTCTACTGACCAGGTTCAAGGTCCCTAATACAATTTCATTGGTCCGCAAATAGTACGCAGCTCAACTGATGGATTCCACTTAACTGTAATGACTCCATAATTTTTTTGAGTACTTGCTCTATGTAAAAGAATATCTGGGATCTTAAAAAGAGACACCCATTAGCCCCCTGAATAAGAATTTACCAAGGTCTAAATATCTATATACTGAAAAAGCTCACAGGTGATTCTGATGTGAACCTTTGGATTGGAACCACTGTGCCTGCTATACATACAAACTACTATACATAAACTGTCCCTGGTCTTAATTTTCTAGGAGAAAGATACAGACATGTTAGTAACTACCTACAACAAAAGGTAAAGGGAGAAGAGTAGGGGAGGAGAGGCAGTACCAGAATAAAAGCACAAGCCAAGGGCTTTGGATTCTTTCAGGAAAGGAATCATTATGGGAATGAAATGAGATACTTAAATTTTATTACTAAAAGTCAATCAATGCAGGGAAGTAGTAAAAATCGTAAAGCTTATATTATAAAGAATGAGGGAGGGCAGTTGGGCATCCAACATAACTGTACTTGTTCAGAGGCATGGGATGTGGGTAACCAACCTACTTAAAAACCTAAAGCACTGCTAGTCTCTACACCCTTTCCAACAGGCAAAATGCACTGCATTCTCCACGATGGTCCTCATATAATACTGTCTTCTGCCACTGCACTTGTCACAGGGTGGCTAAATAACTCATTTGCAAATTTACTCTCCATAGCAGAAAGTGAGTTCCTTGAGGGGAAGGGGGATGTCTTATTCTTCATACACCTAGCGGTTAAACTCCCTTCCTGTCACATAATATGCTCTTAAGGAAACTTGACAATGTGAGGAAAATCTGAAAAAAGTGTAGAGAAAAAGACCAATGTTGTTCCAGGAAACATTATGAAATTTATGAATTATATTTTCAGTTAAGTTCTCTCTTATTAGTGACTCTTAGAATTAAATATTCCTGGCTTCCCATCTGGCTATGTTATATTGACATACTCACTGTAAACAGAACATAGATTTTTACTTTTAAAAATGGACAAAACTGGCTTAAAAGTTTATAATCTCACTCAGTTCACTTCATTCTTCCTTTCCTACTCCAAATGTGTTATTTAATATCTTCCAGTGCAAACAGAGTTGTGTTTATAAGTAGTTGAACATGTAACATCCCAAAGAAAACAGAATACACAAATAACGCCTTTGTTTCTTAATTTTCAAAACAGAAAAACTTGTAGTGTCATTATCGGTCATTTATAGAACAAAAACAGCATGCTTTTCACAAATGCATTTCAGATTTACAAATTTAATAAGGGATTTCTCATCAAGGAATAAAGCAAAACTGATCATTTAGAATCAGAATATTCTAAAGGAAAAGATGTGTTCATTGATCTTTAATAGTATCAGTATTTAGTCCCACCAAAAAAAAAAAGAAAGTGACCCTTTTTAAAAAATTTAATTTCACTATTCTCCAGTTACTAATGCTGCTGAAATCCAGCTCACTCCTTTTCCAAGCTCCTCTAACATGGTCAAGGAGTGAGCCTCTGTAGACAGTCATCATTTTAAGGCCAGGAAATCTACCAGAAATGTCAGGAGTCTGCAGAGTAGCAGCTGACCAACGTGATCTGAAAACAGATTAAAGTAGGAGCTAACTTTGGCATGTTTAATATTAATAATCATTGAGCAAGTACTTCCATAATATTGCAAGAAACTTCTAAAATATAGTTCCTACAAATGGGACAATATTTGAAATATATTTGCCAACACATCCTCTGGGTCTTAATTTTTTCTTCCCATAAGCTTCTAAAGAAGAATTTCTGAAAATCATCTTATATATTCCTTTAACTCTCCTCTGTCTAAAGCAGGCACTACATGGATAATACTGACTTACTCACTAGTCACCTATAATATTTTATTATTTTTGCTGAATTCAAGCACTATGTGAATATATTCAGCTTTCTGAAAGGTAGGACAATTTGACGATGAGTATATATTCCCTGATTTATTATATGGTCTGGCGAAAATAAGTGATTTAAGTTTTTTTAAAAAAAACTTTACATGTATCCCAGATTCCTAAATTATAAAGAACCACTTTAGGTCAAGGATTGTATTTCATCTGTTTAGCCATCTCTGGCATATGATAAATGTTACTAAATATTGAATAAATGAAGACATGCTTTGAAAGCGTATCGCTGATACTTTCATTTTTTAAAACCTATGATTCTGATACACATTTTAAAAAACATGATTCAGATCACATTTTCATACAATAATGCATAGATTAAATATTTTATGTGCCTTTGCAATTTAAAACTGTAAGGCTATCTACAAGATTCAGAATTTCACTCTTTTGTTTTAGCTGCTGCCACTGCCATTAAGTGGAATTTTGCTAAGGCATAGTTCCACTCATGGTCTCCTGGGAGGCCAAGCAAAATGCAAAGACCAGAGGTTTGGGGAGCAGGGTTCAAATCTCCCTTCTGCCATTCCTTGATGGTCTGCCTTGAGGGGAATTCCTGCATGTCTTGGATGAGGCTACATACAGCAAGGAATTATTGTTAAGAGTTAAAGGAGATAATGTAGACAAAATGCCTGGCACAGGTCGTGGCACACAAAGATCTCCACAAATAATATTCCCATTTTGTTTAATTAGTATCTATAATTATCTATCTATAGGATATTGTATATCTACCTACAGTGATTTCAAATTTTAACAACTATAGTTTTAGTAGAAGATCTCCACAAATAATATTCCCATTTTGTTTAATTAGTATCTATAATTATCTTTCTATAGGATATTGTATATCTACCTACAGTGATTTCAAATTTTAACAACTATAGTTTTAGTAATAAATTTTTACATCAAATTAAAGTTATCAATCTTGTCATTATTAAAATTATAACCAGTCCTTCATGGAAACAGCCTGTTTTAAAAACAGAATATATTTATACTAGAGATTTTATTTTAACCCAGACACCTTACTGCAACTAGGTGTTTTTCCAGGTTTCCCACAAGTACTCACATCCTCTACCTTAGGACATTGTGTGATCTTCATTACAACCCAGTAAAGCACCCAGAAAAGCAAGGTTCAAAACAGAGATATTTCTTTCAATTGCCTAATCTTTCATTTATTACTTATTTACCATGTACTTTATACCTAAATTAAGAAATCCAATTCAATCATCTATTTGGATAATTTTTCAGAATGGGTCTAGGTTTTAATGCTAGAGTGCTTTCCAATGCCAAGTTTCCTTGGAATGTTTGTGTCACATGAAGGTATCTTTCTTAATCATTCTCAAAAATTCTTTCTTGGATACCTCAAATTAAATCCATCTTAACTACTGGCAGGTCTTAGAAATGTCCCCCCCCCAAAAAAAAATCACTTTCATTTGTTAACATTGCATAAATGTCCTTTAAATTCTGAACTAAAATGGACACTATGTGTAAAGCACCCAGCAGTACATGGTAGGTGCATAATAAATGTTACTTTACCTTAACAGAAAACAAATACCTCAGCCACATTAATCTTTTAGAAAACATGATTTTGTTATCTGAAAAAATGCCAGAGAGAAATGTATATGTGTAGACTTAAACATATTATTTTCTTGATAATTTGTATAAATCATGCTTACAACAATTACATTTAGATCAACTTAACTGAAAATAATCCCTCCTTTTTTAGGGGACATAACCTTTAGCATCAAATTATAGAATTACTCCCTCCACCCGCTTTAAAAACAAGGAAGGGTCCACTCGATTGTAGTCAATCAGCAGATTCTTGTTTACATTAAGGTATTTCCAATTATGTCCTACTCAAAAACACACAATATTGTCTACCAAAAGGCTCATTATGGTTTGTTAAAGATAAACACATTAGTGTCCCATATACCCACATACTGTATATGTCTCTTTCTGTTAAGAGTCTCAAAATATTTTGTCTTCCATTGCAATTATATATAGTAATATAAATGCCTGGGTTAGACTGATGTTATCAGGAAATTAGGACAGATCAACATTTTGTCTCTACTCTGATGTTGATACCAATGCTTGAATGACTAGTTAATATCACATCATGATGCTGGAAATACTGCTAAACATTTTAAGGCAATAAGTATGTTTTTTATACATTCACCAAGTTAGTTTTCACAAAAAGCATAGGCCAATTTTTAAAAAAATATATAAATGCTCTAGGCAGCATGGAGATTGTTTATTTCCTTTTTTTTCTTTGGCAGAGAGAGGCTTCAAAAGTCATAAATTAATTTCATGTCTACCTGGAGTTGATCTGCTGTAAAGCTGGTCCGAGCTCTTTTTGCTGGTTTTGGATGATTAACATCTTGCTCTGTGAGGAGGGCGCCTTCCACGCTAATCCCATTACCTGCATTTAAAAAACATACTATACATGTTGGTAACTCAAATGGATCCACCCATCTTGCAATAATAGGTTTCTTGCATCTCTCGGCTTATTGTGAAACTGTATACATTTTCTAGATTGCAAAACCCCTTGAGTTAAGTTTTAAAACACACTATAAATATATTGTACAAACAATATTCCATTTATAGGCTTGTATATTTAGTCAAACATGCAAAAAGAAGTGCACATCTAAGGCCCATCCTTAGAAAGGCAAATACAGGGAAACAACTATTTACAAAAAGAATAGCAGAACCTTAACTCAAGGCTGCTGCCCGAGAATATGGCACAAAGCTAACACATAGACCATGGCTTTCCCTATAAATAAACAGACAGAGACTGTCACTAACGGTAGAGTGCTTAATGAGTTTTACTACAATTACACTTTGCACAAAATAATGAATTAAGATGACCTTAGTAAAAATCATGTTCATCCCTGTATTCACTGCCCCAAAAGTCTCAAAAGTACTTTAAGTACATATTTACCATTTTCCACTTCTCTTTTTAAATTATCCAGCATGCAGTCATAATGCACTCTGCAGAGGACTTTTTCTTCCACCAAAGCAAACTCCTCTCCTGTGGAAAGTTGCCTTTTGCAGGAGAAGCAGGCAAAGCACGCTAAGTGATAGACATTCCCCTTGGCCCTCCGGACCCAGTCAGTAGAATGGATGTGCCTTCCACAACGAGAGCAGCGAGTTCCATACCTTCTACAGTAAACAGAAGGGCAGGAGGTGAAGATTTTAATGCATGGTGAGCTATTCATCAGTCTAAGGTTAAACTAACACATTATGTTACTCGACTAGAGTAATTTAAGTATTTAAATATTTCAAAAACAAATCAATTATTTTTCTAAAAGTCAATATAGTAAAGAATCAAGACTTGAGATGGTCACAATCCAAACCCATTTATAAAAATAAAGACTTCCCATTGTTCCTTGTAAAGAAGATTGAATTTTTCTTTTAAAATAAATGAGAAATGAGTTTCTATATCCCTCTTGTATCAAGTATGAATGCATTTATACATTTACGTAGAGACTCAAGAAAGAAACATACACTCTCCAGACTGAAAACCTATACCAACTGAAGATATAAGTAATGACTTCTTAAAACCAAGTTGAGGTTATTAGAAAATGCTTTAAATATTTTTTAAAATGTTAAGACTCTTAAAATGAAAATGATCAAAGAATGTGTAGAACGGAAAGTTTTTACCCTGGTGGGTGAGGAAGGAAAACTCAGAAATGTTTCCCTTGGAGAAAAAGCTATTACATTGCTATACACAGGAGAGAGAAAATATTATCTAGAACGTTCAGAGACATATCTGGACATTTAATGCAGGTCAACCTTCACAAAATGCCAAAGCTAGATGTAAATATTTTTCTTCTTCCAGTCTGAATGACAGGACACTGTTTGCCACATCTCCTATGACAATCACAGTAATGTCCTGGCATGCCCAGATCACACTAGATTATCATATGTGTCTATGCCTATTCATCAATAGATACATCTTTAGAGGTATTGCCAGCTTGTTTTTTAAAGTTACTCTCAAAAACTAAATCCTAAAAATAAAGTTCAGAATATAATAAAATATGAAGTATTAAAAAATCCTAAAGAACTAGACTTTCAGTAAATCTTTAAAACTAAACATTTCAAAGGGTCTTGAGTTACCATAAAAATTAAGATTAGCATATCCTAAGTAAAAGAGAAAGCACATTGTTACTATTGTTGAAGAAATAGAAAGTAAGCTGAATGAGAAATGTACATTTTTGGTAATTATAAAATTCTGTGATTTTATAAAATAAAGGTCTCTGGATTTCATGAAGTGCTTTAAATGACCCAGACATTTTATTCAAATCTATCACTAAACTCTCTGAAAACACTTTTTGAAATGGACTATAAACATAATTACTATTACAAATTTCATTCTATAGTTTTAATTTCCTAGTTTCACAATGAACATTTTTTCTTCATTTAGAAATGCAAATAAAGAAAAAAGTATGGTAATTTTTAAAAGTCATACTTAAGAATGATTTTCAATTTTTGGACAGCTGCTCATAAAGAACTGAATCATATTCTAGAAGAAACCTCACATTTAAACAATTATAAAGAGACTACGCAGAGTAAATGTTACATTTAATATCTTATGCAAATATAATATTTACAGACCAAAAAGACAAAAGAAATAAGATTTTTAGGCAAAGTAATTAGATTTAGTATACTTATGATATTGAAATTGTCAATTCTTCTGAATAATATGGTTTAGAACAGTCTCCAAACTCCTGACATCTTATAGGTGTATGCTAAGGGTCATTCTGTGGTAAATTGGCAAAAGCTTACCAAAACCTTGATTTTTTTCCCCCATAATGATTTTATTTCATCTTCCCAAACAAAGGGCTTTGTCGCAATAAGTCTCCAAACTCCTGACATCTTATAGGTGTATGCTAAGGGTCATTCTGTGGTAAATTGGCAAAAGCTTACCAAAACCTTGATTTTTTTTCCCCCATAATGATTTTATTTCATCTTCCCAAACAAAGGGCTTTGTCGCAATAAGTCGTCTTGTATTTCATATTTTATACCTATGCACGGCAAAAAAGATTCCCTGTTTTCAATACCTAAAACTTTCAAAGTGGAAGTATTATTTACAATTAACTTTTATATACTGAATCCCTAAATGAGGCAAACACACTTATTTTGTTTTAATATTCATTATACCTCAAAAATATGAAAGCATTCTCATTCTGAAATCTACTACATAAGAAAAACTGGGCTTTGATAAATAAAACTGGACAAGAAAAAGCTTATCGCAAAATTCTTTTGCATAGTAATTTCTTGAAGTGTCTACTTTATTAATAAAAATCTTCATAGTGTACCTGAAATAATCAAGTTTGCAAAAAATGTCTTTGTCTTTAATATAACAGCTGGTGTGCCTTCCTAAGGAGGTTCTGCAGACGCTGCAGGAGAGACACCGGACATGCCAGCACAGGTCATTCACCTGTGAAGGGAAGAGGGGCAGGGTGAGGCACCATTCTAATACCACACTAAGGAAAGTATTCACTGGTTTTGTGTATGAGATAATTTAAAAAGCTGACCCCTTAATATTTTAACATACCTTCTGACTGTTTTCATCCAAGGTGTGTCATTTATATAAATATGCATCTGGATATATTCCCTTTTAATTATAACCAGAAAATCATAATAGTATATGCCTCATTTTGTGTTTATCTTTTCTTTTTTTTTAATTCCTTTGGAAAATTCAAGTTTTGTTTTGTTTTTGTTTTTTTCTTTTTTTCTTAAATTGAACCTCTATAAACACAAGGGAAATTTTGGTCACTTTAAAGTCCTACATACAGGTTTTTTGTTTTCTTTTACCAAATTCTTCCCATGGTGAAACCTGTTATAGAAATCAAGACACATAACTTCTCAACTTACTTTTTGGTCAAACAATTATAAACTGTGCACCTATTACATAGAATAAAGAAACTGAAAAAGTAGCTTTGTGAGATATTTTTCCTTATAAAGAAACTAGGTAATCCATTTCCTTTACAAAACATAAATTGCTAAGGTAGATTCAAATGTTGACACAGCTACAAAAACAATAGAATCAAAGAGTAAAGTACTGATACACCTAATGATTTGACTACTGGAGAAAAAAAAATCAATCTGATTATAAATAGTTCTAAAAAGGCACCCAAGCATTGCTTTCTGTTTATACTTCAAGTAGTAAGGAATAAAATGGTGTTTAATAAAGCACAGCACTTTATACTTAAATAGGAACATGAAATATTGTCATTTCAGGAAACAAATTATAATTACTCTGACTTTAAACTGTTGCCATCATACTATAAGCACCACAACTTTAGCTTTTGAGAATGAGGATATATATTAGTCTGCAATGTAGGCTCCTAAAGTTTGCTCTTCTTAAATGGATACAAGGACTAGGTTTATGCTTAATTAAATTTCATGTAAAAGAACAGCAATACGCATCAACACTAGTTACACTCTACAAATGGATCTAATGACTAAAATAGGAAAGTAAATGACTGAGAGATATGGTTTTTGCTACACTATTTCATAATAAACACTATCCAGTGATTCTATCAGATTAGAACTACTGTTGAACATGCTATTCTGTGAAATGAAATATAAAAGGTACTTCGAAGCTGATATAAAATGTTTTACTAGCTTCTAATTATACTTATGTGCCTCATTCCAAAGCATTAATGAGAGTCTCATTTTTGATGAAATTAAAAAATTTTAAGTTTTGGTCTTTTTTAAAAAGAACTACATGCTAACAATAAAAAAAAACTGAAAACAGCAAAGAAATAATAGAAAAAATTTGAGGAAACAAAAAATATTAACAATGATGAATACTGTACTGGAAATAAAGATGTATTTTCTTTACTTTTTTTCCCTAAAATGGATCCAACTAATATAACATTTAGAAATACAGGCTTCCTTTAGGATCCTACTGTTTAGAGTCTTTGGTATTTCAATCTTACCTAGGGTTTTTTTTTTTTTTTTTTTTTCCCCAAAGCAAGGCTCTAGGCAAAGCCAGGCCTAATGGCTGGTTTGCCACCTTTCCCCCAAATTTACGTTCTCCCCCAAAATACTCCTTAATTTTCCATTTCTTTGCCAGCGAGTAAAGCAAGGTGAAGAGAGAAGATTCAAGAGACTATAAACCTTCCCTGATGGCTGGTATTGATCCCCAGTCTGTTCGAATATATGCCTGAACATATGGTTAGAACTAAGCAAGAAAACTACCCAAATGACAGGGCACTGAAGCATTAGATGGGGCAATACATCTCACTCCCCTCATCCTTTCCATTTTAACTCCATTTTACTTGCCTGTTGAGCTGTTTTTCTATCTTAGCTATATGCTCAAACACTATTTCTTTACTAGGTGTTCTTCTATTTTAGCTATACACCCAAATGCTATTTCTTTACTAGGCCTAACTATTTTTCTTACCAGTGACTCAAATTGAATTCAAACTTATCTGAAAGAATAAGTACTCAAAATGGAAAATAAAAAGTTAAGAACTCAGAGTTTTTAACATCACGATATAGTACCAAACTTCAGTTAGAGCTAGTGTGCACGAATTGGTAGAACACCATATGTAGAAGACTTCATTGGGATGACTCCTGTTTTTTATATAACTCACTTAGACAACTTAGATATTTTGGGAAAGAAACTTGATTTCTTTAATAACCTCAATTAAAAGAGCAAGACACATATATATTTTTTAAAGGGGGCTTTTTGAACAGGATAACCCAAAAGGTGAAGAGGTTTAATAGGATACTTGAAAGCTAATTACAGCAGGATTTAAGAAGCCTGGTGTTTGTTCCGATGACAATTTGAATGAAAATGCTTCAGATTAAACCGAGCCAGCAGCTCTTTCGTAAACTTACAGCAATTAGAACCACGAGTGATTTACACTCGTTTCTTTAAGGTGTAAATTGCCACTTCTCGCTCAGTAAGTCAACATTTGAGCTACTAAAGGATTATTTTAAACCAGCGCAAAAAGCGGGTCGAATAATGGAAAATATCCAGCTGAATTTAATTTGTGCCATTAAAAAAACTCACCCAGCCTCGGTCAAAATGTTTTAAAGCAACAATGCGCGTGACTCAAGTGTTTCCAAGCCTTTGCTGCAGTTTTGTTCTTAAACGAAAACGCGGTCTTCTCTGCCTTCGTTTCTGAAAACTGTAGCTTACGGGCGGCTGGGTCCCCCGAACTCCAGCAGCCCACACCTCTGTATTTCTGACTCTTCACCTCCCCTTTTCCTTCCTCTGGAAAAAGGCAGATACGGCCCGAACCTGGGTGTCTCCGAGACCCGCTGCACCGAGGCCGTGTCTTCGCATACACAAAGGGTTTAAGCAGAAAAGCTGCGCGTTCGCCGGGTGCTCCCAGCCAGCGCTGGAGCGCAGTCAGCGGTGTACAGTGCGGGGTCTGCTCAGGCCCTCAGACAGGCTGCAGATGATTTTCCAACTCAAAGCACGAGACACCCACGGGCTCTGCCTCCAGAATGAGACAGCTTGTCAGGCTCCCTCTATCTACTCAGACGCAACGCGTGACTCCTTTTGTGCCCTGGGGTTCGCTTTTGATATTTTAAGTAAAACGGCCCTGCTGGCCTGCCCTGGCATCCCGGAGGCCTTCTAGATGGAGCCACGTCTCCCTCTCTGTCGCTATGTGCCGGCGGCCGCGCGGATCGCCCTGCGGCGGGAGTCGCGCCCTGGGCCAGCGAGTGTCCGCGGGCAGCGGAGCGCCAGCAGCCGAGCCTCTGTTTGGTTCCACCCGTCAGCCGCCCGGGCCTCGCGACCCGCTCTCCCGACCGCCACGATCACCACGGCAAATAAAACGAAAGCATGACTCACATGGACCAGAGAGCGCCTTAGGCTCGAGGCTTCGTCTCCCAAATTACAGTCTCCATGCCTCAGGTTAAGTGAGCTTGTGGGGAGGGGGGGCAATGATTACTAACGCTACTACGTAATAAAAAAAAAAAAATTGCCAGGTCTGAAGATGAGGCCTTTACAGGTAGTTTCTGAACCTCGTTTAGGAGCACAAACAACTCGAGTTTCAAGAAAATGCGATTCAGCTGGTCTGGCCAGGCTTGGGCTCGCTCACCTTCTCAGGGGCAACCGCCAGCTCCGGCACGTCCTTTTCTTCTAGTTTATACACAAACATCTGATCGCTCTTCCAATACATGGCACTGCTAGGGCTGCTGATCACATATCAGCTCCAGAGGGTCAGAGGCTGTCCGTGCCTGCCGGTCTCCACCCCTCCCTTCCCCAATGCACTGATAAAAGCTGACACCGAGAAGGATAGGAATGCTACAAGTGAGTCTTCGTCCAGAGGCGGCTGTGGCCCTGACCACCGTCTCATGGACTGCTCTTGAGATGCATTTCCCAACTTCACTGAGGTCTGTCCCTCCAGGACAAGGAAAAAAAAAGTTTTGTTTTCCAGAGGGTGGAACCTTACATAAGGGGAGGGGGTGTGGGGGATGTCTTCCTGGAGGAATAGCCTCACCTCCTTAAGAAAAACCCGCCTTCTCAACATGTTAAGATCTTTATCAGGACAAGCTAACCTACTCTAGGTTTAGTATTGAAAAAACAAAACAAACGAAACCGTCGTTAACCGCCTGTTAACTTGACTTTGAAAAAATCTGCTTTCTGCATTTGCCTTGGCTTTTAAATTCTCGCTCCCCAACCAGAACCTAAACAAAGATTCAAGTTACATCTCTTTCTGCAGCGAGCAGAAGGGGAAGCGGAGGTCTGGGTGACTTGAACGTTTTAGTCAGGCTTGAAACGCGCAGCTCTCGCGTCCAGCAGAGGATCGCGACCGCTCCCTAGCATCCTGGGCTCTGACTTGTTTAACGGTTCGCGCTCCCTTCGCTAAAAGTTTTCTCATTATGATAAAGAAGGAGCATCTGAGCAGCACAAAAGCTGTGATTTGCGACTAGATTTGAAATCAAGGCTACGAGGAAGACGAAAGTATGTTGCTAATGAGTATTGCTCTTTCATCTCGTCCTAGACAAAACTTAAGCCCTAGAAGCGGCCAGCTGCTGCCTCAAATTCTGGCTGACGATTGGGGGTGGGGTGTGGGAAGGGAGGTACTCGGCAAACTGTAATTTTGATTAGGATCGGAGGGTGTGTTTGTATAAACAGCTTCTTCCTGGGATAAATTTTACTTCATTAGTAAGTGTACAAAGAAGAATTTGGTGAGATTTTAAAGAAAATTTTTATTTCCAATTTCCCCTTTTTAAGAAACAAAAATCTTCTGAAACATAATTAATGTAAGAATATCTGGGAATCTCTATTTCTTAAAGGCCTTTAACAAAATCATGTAATGTTGCTTCAATTAGACAGAAATATATTCGAGTATATATAAAACATATATATATATATGTTTATATACACACACATACATATAATCTTATCTCCTTGCCTTATTTGTCTAAAGGAAGATGAAAGTGATCTTGCCCAGACTGGTTAGCTGAAGGCT